TAGACCAAAATACCCCTCCCCCGCTATATGTATCTCCTTCTCCTTCCCCACACCCTACCCCCCTTTCCGTACCCCCTACACCCCTACCATCTTTTGGAGACTATTCGACAGACATAATCAAGACACTGAATGGGAAATAGATCTGATGTTAATGCTGACACAGTGTACGATGCAAGCCAGTGTCCTTCAACAACATAGTATCATTCCACCAGAGGTATTCACGGGAGCAGCAAGGCATCTGTGTAAAGCTATAAGAACAAGATTATGTGTCAATCAACCACTAATTGTACTCTTGCAGATTGTAAATATTAAACTCTATGTGTACCTGCTGGCTTTCTTCTGTTGTGTGGATGTCAGATCTGAAGATCAGTCAGCCCTCGGCATTCCAGTTTCAATAATGGTGCTGAAAATTTTGTCACGTTCTGGTGAATATGGTCACATTATTTTGGACGCTATGTCACGCCACTTGCTACTGTCCGATTACTTATTCTATCCGCTCTGGATCTCTATGATCACGATTTTTGGCAAGTAAATATGGATGGTGCCAGTTGCAATTGCCCACTATCAACAAGGTCACAAACTGCAGATGTCAAAACTGTGCACTGCGTCTCATAATGCAATTTTCACAACCATACTAATGCATGATTGTCACTCATAACTACTATAGCCTCGGGTAACGCTTGCTGTGGGTCTTCTTTTGTCTTAGTAGTGATATTGCAAGGTGGAGTTGAAGTGATGTAGGATCAGATACTCCAGCATTAGCAGTTTATGGTGCTACAACGTCAGAAGATTACACCAACGAGGAGTTGAAACACTTTTCGTATGGAACACCTCCACAATGAACGTCGGGAATGGATTCTTGTCCGTATGACCAGCAGCGTCATTGACACAGCCCCGATGGCCTTTCCAACTCGCACTGTAGTATGCGTCATAACAAAGGTACGAGCCGAGCAGTCGTGTTGCACCACTCTTGTCTGCACTTTCAATAAGCAGAACGGCACAAGTCGACACGATGTGAGAAAAATGCTCCCACCGGACGAGTATCATCTCCGAGCTTTAAGCAAATAAGCACTCGATTGAAACTTGAATCGAATAAAAAATCAACAGTCTTGTAAAAATCTCGGTGGCATCCAACTCCTCAAAGTCGAGAGACGTGTGGTTCCACCACGAAGCTACTCCGACAAATGTGGCTTTCTGACAAACAAAGTTACCAAACTGAGCAACAAGGCATCTGGCTTGTTCTGCAGGTAGCGTCAACATACCACGATTCGCTGCGAGTCCAGTGAAGCTCAACTCATCTTACAATAACTTGAACCTCCCATCAATTTTGCAGTTTCAACATCAATTATATATTCATAAGCAAACAGAAAAAAAGACTGGGCTTTTATTGTAAAGGATCACGAATCTGTGCGTGCGGCGACATGTAGGCCTAACTTAACCAAAGCTTTAATGAGTTTTTCTCCCTCTGTGCCCTGCATTGTTCCGTTCCATGCTTTGTTTTCCTTGGCAAGAGCCGATCGCAAAACATCCAGTGCTGCAACGTAATTCTTTAGTCCCAGAGCGATTTCCTTATTGACCTGGTTCAATTCTAAACTTGCTTTCTTCTGAGAGATAGTGGTTGCTTGACGCTGACTTTGCTCTTGCAAACTCATGCATGCTGCGACCAAATCGACCCCTACTTGCATTGTTTGTTTCTTGTGAAGGGCCAGAGACAAGCCGGAGCGATTGGACAAGTGCTGAGTCAATACATGCATTGGTATGATGATGTCGTTTTCAACGTTTAACGGTGTTCTTATAGGGAGTTTAGATCGAGATAATGATGGCAGCTTTTCAGGCGACGGTGTCTGTTCTGGATGGGCACTATCAGCTAAATGCAGAGTTTCTGGTGACGATCCTTGAGATTGTACTGCTTGCTGCTTTTGTGAAAGCTCAAGGATGTGACCCTTTGACGAAGTGTTTCCTGATGCAACTATCGTTGCAGCACTGGATAACAAGCTACCTCGATTGACACTATCAGCCTGAGTGTTCAGTCTTGGGGGTCTACCTAGTGTGTTGGTTTGTGCCACTGATTGCTTGGCGATCTCAAAGCTTTGAATCTGATTTTTGACTGGGCTGTTTGCATCTTGCGATGCTGGTGCTGGAGGTGATGCTTCTGTCTGTATAACTGTCTGACTGGGTCGCTGTACAATTGTGTGACTGGGTCGTTGTGATACGTCAGAAACAAGGGATATACTTGATAGCGGTGTGATGGTGGGAGCTGGTATTTCAATGGATTGATTTGACTGGCTGTGTAGAAGAGAATCAAAACCAGTGGCTGGAGCCCATTCTCGTGATATTGCATGAGGAAGAGCTTTTACAGCTGGTTTGGGTGATTCAGAACGTTTAGGATCAGAATAGATGGTGGATACGGTGGACATGGGTCGGAGCGGTTCAGCTTGGTAGTTCTGTGCGAGTAATGCTGTCCCACTTTTGGCACCAAATGTACTGCTGGAAGAAAATGCGACCCGAGACGTTGGTTGTTCTCGCTCTCTCATTGTCTTATAATAGCGTTCCTGCATAGTGGCACGATTTCCCTTTTGTTCATCTGGTCCATATTTTCTCCTTTCGTCAAGAAAGGCAGGGAGACCATTCAAGGATTGAGTCGAGCCAAATGCATCATAAGAATCTACTCGATGGAAGGGGATCGGAGCGTGGGTTTGTTTGAATTTGCTGGAATATACGGAAGTTCGGTCACCAGTCGCAGGCGACAGAGTCAGCTGTGATGTGGGTACATTTTCGTTGGATTTGCCTCGGACACTATGGCTAGTATTGAAAGTGCCTCGAACGCTGCCGTTGGGATTCATGGCCATGATGGCTCGTTGCTGTAGAGTTCCTCCAGTTGCTTTGGACTGACTGAAGACTTCTTGAGCTGACAGGTAGTTTGATTGCACTTCTGGTGCAACTTTGGTCTGAGCTGCTAAGCTGCCTTTCGACAAGCACCTAGATATTTACAGGCTGTTAGCAAGTAGTGGGAGGGAGTATCAAACGATAACTAAGAGATAATTTCTATCCACAAAAGCTTCACCTCTTCATATTGCTGACCCATTCAGCATTGATTGCTCTTGATAGAAGTGTAATCCAAAAGTCCTTTTCTGCGGCGGTCCTAGCAATTAAAATTTAGTTGAGAAATGGAAGGGTGGGAAATAACAGCAAGTACTGCTCCAATATGTAAGTGACTAGTCATGTACCTAGCAGAGCATTCCAGACTGGTTCCGCCGTGAAATCGAACCACAAACACGTTGTCGATGTGGTCATGTTCGTTTGAGACAGATACTTCCTTTATTTGATTGACCTTGATGGACCATCGTAACTCTGACTTGTCAGATGCTGAATGGTGGTAAGATAATGTGTTGCCGTCCCTATTAATGGTTGCCGTTGTTAATTGGTGCCTCCTTTTGGTTGTCAACGTAAGCAGCAACCATTAATTTCGTCAATAAAGCATTCAGTACCATCGGAAGTGCCTCTTCACCCATCTCTTAGAGTTGGATTGACATTGCTAATATTGTCTGGTGGTTTAGTGCCATGTTATGATCGTCGGCATTAATTGAATCTACCTTGTACAGATAACCTCCATGTGACTGCGAGGGATGTAAATTTTGGATGCCTGTTGAATGTTTTGTTACACCCTTTCCTGCGAGATTAGGCGTTGAGAAGCTCCGAGATGGCATTTTTGACACGTCGACTCTGGTTTGCTTGGTGGGAAACCGAGGTTGGAGGTGTCAGAAACAACCCACACCCTGAAAGTTTGGCTGAATCAAATTTCAAATATTGCGAAGTACTTACTCTGTGCAGAACAAAAAGAAGATGCAACATCTCGTCTGTAACGGACTGGCATTTGCGAACCACGCGAAAACAGGACGGATCAACAACTTTGGTTGAATAAGCTTGCTCGTATTTATATCACCTTTATACAATTTCAAAGGCCAAACGCATATCGTTTCACGTACAGCACTGCAGTCCATCTTTAAAAGCGGAATTCTGCATTGACGCAGGTGATTGGTAGATCGTCTGCGTTGGTAGCATTCAAATGGAGGTTGTACTTGCCCTTGATATGGATTGGATATGAAGCAATTCAGACAGTTGAAAAGAAGTACAGACAACGTGCTTGACTACGTACCGCAGGGAGTTCGTTAGGGAGGTCGATAGTTCGCTCAATCACTTGATAGCCTTTGAGGATTGGGCATTCAACATCGATACGTTTGATTTCCTCACACAAATCTAGACGTTGCTCGAACAGCTTGATAAGACCAAGTTTCACCTTTACATCAGCCACGGATCCGGCGACAACTAGCAATTTTTGGTAAAGTTTGTTAGAGATAGATAGCCCGTCAGATATTCCAAGATAGCAAGTATGCAGCTGAGAAAGTATTGAAAGTAATTGATGATATATTGTATTGATTGTCGTCACGTATACCATACTCTGCAAACTGTGAAATTACAAAATGTCCACATACCGTCTTCCTTGAGATAACCTCGGGCCTCAATGACGAGACTCTGGCCTTTTACAGGTGGATCAGGAGTGAGAATGATTGATTCCACAGTGAATATATCGTCGTCGGTGCCGCATAACGTCGTGGTTGCCATAGTGTGGATGATGGGGATCTGTCTGTCGTGATTTGATGGCAGCCAGAGGGCATGAGCAGTAGCAGCCAGTACAATAAATACAATCAATGGAGTCTTTATCATTTTGTCTCTCGTCGAGTTAAGGTTGTCGTTATTGTTGTGGTTTGCTGTAGGTAAGAGACAATCAACACCATCTGACCAATAAACGTGGCGAGTTATTGGGCCAGTTCCACGTGTTGTAGTCAGACAGATAATTATTACTTTTAATACTTTTACATCTAACATTGAATTAATTGAATTGATTTATTAATGTTATCATGTTCTACGTTTGAATTTATGGTGCGAGCAACGCGTTATTACAACCGCAGCAGCAACAGCGGCTTTCAAGAATTCAATCTCGACGTCCGTTAATCTATAAAAATGTCGTTATTAGTTATCCTATCGGATTTCTCGCGAGATTTTGATTCAATTCACCAACCTCCATCAAACAGTACGTTTCAAAACCGTAGCGTTTGATGAGGGACTCTTATTGAAACCTCTCTAAGGTGCCAGTGTGCTAGTCGTAGAGTTTCAGACCTACTGTTGGCCAGGTTTATACTAGTAAGGCGGTGTGATCCTGACGGTAAATCCAGCTCCAAGCTATTAGGTATAATACTTTTGGCAGTAAGATGAAGTCGACGTAGCAAGCTGTGGCCTGATACAAATGAATTGACTTCCGCCATGACTGCATCGTCGAATCGGAGTATACCACTCATCCCTCCTAGTTCCAGACTCTCAAGGGTTGGCCATACATGGACTAGCAGAGAGAAGGACCCGAACTCCAAGCTAAAACCACATATTTGAAGTGACACTAGATATCTACTATCGGATGCCAAGGTGGCCAGAGTCTGCATTGGCAGCATAGACGAGTCTGTGTGAAGTGCTTCAATTGTCAAATGGGTCAATACAGGCGCCTTCAAGTGTTTTACAGCTTCCAAAGTTATAGCAGAAGCAGTTTTACCCAAGCTTCTTATCTCCATCACTTTCAGTCGAGGCAAAGTTATATCGCATTTAAAGCGGGCAGGAAGATAATTGAGTACGAGACGTGTTAGTCGGTTTTGCTGCCCGACTATAAGCGTATCAGGCAACGTAGGAGGTGACCACAGGCACAAGTCGTTTACGTGTTTGAGCGAAGACCAGCTTTCTACTCGTTCCACCTCATAGTCAGTGCCAGAAACCTTGTTGCTACGTAGCTCCATTCGTGTAACTCCACTAAAGTCACTATGAGACCATATAGTATCATGCAAGAAGTTCGATGGAGAGTCCAATCTTAGAATTGATAGATACGGGAGGCGACTCAGTAAATGTCGGAGCTCGTCAGCCGAGCATTTGGAGTCACCGCTAGATTCAAACAGTTTAAGGCTTCTCAAAGGCAGAGGTTGGCTTGTTGACAATTCACTATATAGAATATGCTGTGAGGGCAATGCGTGCAGGGTGCATTGGTTTACGTGGATTCGTTTTAAAGAAAGAATCTTTTGACACAACCACAATGTCATATGAGAATGGTTTGGTTGCTGCTTGTCTGTTAACGGAGGGAATGGCACTTCACAATGAGTAAGAGAAAGACTCTCGAGAGTTGAAATCAGCGAGACGTCAAAAATATGGTCCTTATCGAAGACAGCATATTTGAATTTAAGAGTCTTGAGCTTGGGGCTGCTTTTGATAATGGCCGTGATTGTATTCCGAGGCAGAGTGAGGTGGTCCAAGTCTAGTTTTAAGACCTACGTCATCAGGGTGTAAGTGTCTACGAGATGACCAAAACAGCGCTTCGAAAATCCATTCTACCTCCAATTCCGGCAGATTTTCATGATCTTGATCAAGCCAATCTATAAGCTGATCGAATGCCCAAGCGCAGATTCCACTCAATTTTAGAGTAACCAGATGGCTTGAGCTGTACTCCTAGGTTTGGGACAAGAAAAATTGATGCACATCTAAATAAACAGAATTGAATCCTGTCCACATACTGGACTAGGCCGGTACCAAAACGTGGGATTCTCCAAGACCTAACCAAACACAGTCAAGAATGCTCACGAAACTGATGATGACGTCGTAGTAAGTCATACCAAATGTTTCAACATAGGTGCACATCGTAAGATGTTGCCCAAGTTTCTTCTGGCAGCATAACCGTATTCATCAGCCAAAGGCTCGTCATCTTCTTCTATGCGTTCATTGAGGGAAGTGCTGTTGTGTTGTCTTTTCAGAGTTGGGATCTCGAGACTGATGAGTTCTGGACAGTTGAAGCATCCATTTAATATGAAATCCGAGGCACACTGAATATGCATCAATCTTCGATAGCCTTTAAAGCTTTTTGCTACTTGATGTACTACGTGTGGTTGTTGCGTCGATGGATTGATTTGCAAGCTTTGTAGCAACGGAAACAAAGATATGATTTCGTCGACATCACAGCCACGTTTTGCTGTAATGAAAAGATTCTTGACGTCTCTGCTTGCGATGTTCCAAGTCCTTGAAACCCTAGAAACTCGAGAGTAGCTATCAACCGCTCTGGATAGAATTTCTGTTAAAATCTAGTAGGACTCGGAAATGTTAGTTGAGATGCTATACTGGTTCAGTTTTGCTGTGTTACCTCTATTGGTAGAGTATCCATTGCGAACTTCTCGCACGCAGATCCGTTTGCTTGGTTGACTTGAGATTGCCGCAATTCAATCAACAAAACGAAAGAAGCTTAATTAGCCCCATTTCGCTCATGTAAGCGTGTGAAGACTGAAACATACTGTCAGTGCGTGATGTAACAGCAACCAACTAGGCCTTCACTTCGACTTTGATTAAAGCACTAAAGCTCGTGGAGTAAAGACTATCAAAACCATTGATAATACAAGGCGAAAGTGCTTTTATATTCTACAGTGTTTTTTACACGACTACATAATGCTACTACTACTTCTTCTAATACTGCTAGTGTTATTTTGACTTAAATAACTTCTGTTTTATTGACTACATAGCTGCATGTTCATCCCTGTGGTGTGAGCCATCTTGATCAATAAGTGATTGTTCCTGAGCAGCCATGTGATCTTCATAGTATTGAGCAGCTTCTTCTGTGGTGTAGTATTCATTACTTTCGTATTCTTGGCCATCATAGTGAGCGTGAGTAATTCCAAAGCCAACTGCTGTAGCATCGTATTCAGTATCACCACTATGACGCGAGACTTCATCCGATGTGGAGTAGCTGGCCAGTTCAGGCGAAGAGTGTACACTGTCAGTTTCCAACGAGCCGAGAGCAGCAGCGGCAGCCTGCGTTCGAGCGACATATTCAGCCAACGTAGCAGCTTCTGCGGCGGCTTGGGCGATTTGTTCTGGGGTGTGGAGAGTGTTTTTGTTGTGATATCGCAGACCTGCGGCTGACGAGTAGGCTTTAGCACACTTGGTGCAACGGTAGTTGGCTGGCTTCATAAGCTGTTTGGCGACACGAGGAGATATGGTTTTATGCCATGTTTTCAAGTGGTACCGGAGACCAGCACCTGTTCCATATGTCTTTGGACAATCTGCAATGGTGCAGTGGTAGATACGTCGTGGAGCCTGACCCGGTGCCAACGGTTTGAGGAGTGATGGAGACGGTTTCTTCAAGTCTACTTTGGTTGATCGTCTACTGTTTACATCCGAGTTATCGACCATGGCGATTGGGGGGCTATGTCTTCTAGCAATGGGTACAGGAGCAGAGCCATTATGAGCCATAGCGCGAGATCCAGATTGTAGAGAGTATCCACCTATTTGTTGCATACGAGAGTGTTGAAGATGATCCATGTTGGCTGATTGGGGTTGAAATGGTGTATTCGAGTTAGAAATAGAATGTATTTTTTTTTGAATCAAAGAGACAAATGGTCTTTACAAAGACACGGTCTCTTACCAGAGTGGTCTTGATACATGTGCGAGCCTGCTGAAGTATATAGTTGCTGGTGATGGTGGTGAGCAGCAAGCTCTTCCTGCATCTGCGATATCTCTGCTGAGGAGTGTTGGTGGTGGTAGAATGGGATGGCTCCATGGTGATCTTCTTCGGCAGCCAGCTGCTCCTCTGAATAGTCCTGCAGTACATGATGTTGAGGCAAGTAATGGTAGTATTGACCAGCTGCAGAGCTATGTTGAACAGCCTCACGATCATTGTCGCTGCCACCCAAATGAGGGGCCAAAAGTTGACTGGTAGGCATTCTTTGGCTAAGCTCTTCTTGTTATCTGCCTACTTGTCCTCCTTTTGGCACTTGCTTTGTTTGAAGATGCAAGTGAGGTCTTGATTGCAAAGAAAAGCGACCGTTGAAATGCAGCCAATCAGAAGGGACCAATATAAATAAATTTCGTCCTAACCAATTTCAACCAATTTCACTAGTCGAAACTCAAAGCAGCCGTGCTATTCTTGGGGTTGAATCTTATTTTTCTGAGCCCGACCAAACCAGCCACCATCCTCATGTCTAAAAATAGTGAGTAACCCGACAATTTAAACGGTTTGCAACAATTCTCACGAATTGAAGCAATGACACCATTATATTTGCAATAAACGAAACGTCGTTCCACCCCATTATACGACCGACAGCGATCGAGCAGAAATATTTCTTTCAATTCGTGGAACGCGGCGCATTCGAGGTCGCGAAATATCCAAAAGTTTGTGTTGTGACCCATATATTGTGACATTCTATTTTATAACTACGCAGTTTCATATTCTTAACACTTGTATCTCCTTTAAAATTTGAAATCTGGCGCATCTTTTGGGTAGGTTGGGCCAGACATTTGCACCACAACCGAAGCGAGGTAGAGCCCGCCCGCAACACTAACAAACGAGAATTCAAATTGACGTCTTGCAAAAGCAAATACAGACATTTGAAGCAACCAGAACTGACTTGAAGAACATCGTATTACTTACCTTTGTGGGATTGATTTTCCTTGTACGAACTAGGAACAAAACTCGTTGGTTAGATTCCAATGACAATTTCACGGTGGCAACTACATGAACTTGCCTGAGAGAGGAAGCCACCACAGAACGCGTCCCCGGCGCCATTAGTGTCGACAATTTTGGACGAATCAACTTTAATGATGGGATATGTCCATGTCTTGCCTTCAAATGCAACGACAGTAGGATGGATACCTTGTGTAAACACCACTAGTCTTGGTTTGCCAGTCTTTTTTGGCAATGCAGCTATATGCAAGGCGATTTCTGCTACATCATGAGTTCCAATGGCCTTGGCATCTGCGTAAGCGTCTGCTTCGGATTCATTTCCTAGATGCGAAATGGAATTTTTAGTTTATCGTGTGTTGTCCTTTAAGATTGGAACGGTGTCGCCAGAGTCAACGGTAGCCACATAACATTCAACGAAACTGCGAGAAGTAAAATACCAACAACATACCAAAGAGTACATCAACGTAGGGCATGAGCTCATCAATATGTTGACCAAAGAATTTTGGAATGAAGGGAGCTGACAAGTTCATTGTGAAGGTCTTTCCATTCTCAGCGGCATGTTGGGCTACAGCTAATGCCGAGTCTGGCGAGACAGTCAAGAAGTATCCACCAATATAGTAATATTTTGCTTTCTCCACTCGTGCCCAAACTTGAGGCTGCTTTAAATGTGCAATTTTATAATTGTTTGCAGCAGCCAGGTCGGTGACAAGAGATCGATGAGCTGTGGTGATGAGGACGGCACATCTTCCAGTTGGAGTTGCTTCGTCGACAAGATAGTCGGTGAGAAGACCGTCCTTTGCAGCTTCGCGTTGCAAGATTTGGGCAGCGTCGTCCTTGCCGACACATCCAATATAGACCGTAGACTTGGCAGGCATCATGTATTGGGCACCACGTAAAGTATTTTGAGCTGCCCCGCCAGCGAGGTACTCGACTTTGAAGGTTTTTGTCATGTCTTCATAGATGCCCATATGTTTTTGCTCGGCAAGAATGGCATCATTGGCCCCAAGTCCATATTTCGCTAAAAACTTATCGTCTACTACAGCAGAGATGTCGAGCAAAGGATTCTCCATCCCCAACAGGATGTATTCGTCGCTCATCTGGGGTTTGGGAAAAAAGTCAGTTTGTGAGAATGCAGGAAAGCCAGACTTGTGGAAGAGATTGAATGACATCCAGTCTCATTTTCAGAGCCTTAAACTCGACTTACACTGGTTTGATTTCCTTTGCAGAAGCTGGATTGATGTTTTTTGAAAATTTTGTCCAACAGCAGGAAGGTTAAGTAGGCCCAATTACGTTCAAACGTCGCGAACTTGAGCTAAAACCGCGTGACTTACGAGTCAGAATGCGAAGCTTCTATTTGCATTAATATACAACAGCTGGCACTACTATACTACTAATAATACTACACAGCTTTACGACAAGTCGAAACCAGCGTTGGACGTGATGGCATATATCAATTTTTGATTGAGTTTTTCCGCGCTTTTGTAAGCCGGTAGCTTGAGTAAATTAACACAGGTCGAAGCAGATGCTAAAACGTAAACCGCTTTTAACTAAATCGTTTTTGCTCGATCCCGACAACACAGGACACTTACGCAGACGTTCCTCTTCATCTCCAGCATTTCTTATGCATAACAGAGGTCTCAAAGCACCAAAGCCCAACAGAGGAGGTCGTGCACATGAGGTAACAAACTTGAGAAGCAACTGTTTCTCTTCTTCAGAGAAGCCATCGACAACCTTCCAGAAAGCCTTGATAGTAGGATGTTCGGTTGAGAATCCACCTTGATAGTCAATATGTTGTTGCAGATCTCTCAAATCAATAGGCATCGAAGCACCACCAATCAGTATTTGAAGCTCCTCCTGGTTGAACATTTTCAACCACCTTGGGTCAATCAAGTCCACCAGTCCATGGAAGAAGGCTCTACATTGCTTGTCGATCTGTTGATTCAACCAATAATTGGCTACTAGATAGATGTAGCGAATGCGGTTGTCACGAGTCACTGGTATCGATCCACCACCAGGAATCAGTTCAATGGACCTCGTCGTTCCAAACTCTAAAATTCGTAATGTTGGTACTGGACGCGAATCGTTAAACACAAACAATCTCACCGTTTTCGTCTTTCGTAAACGTCAATGTCAGGTCCTTTTCTACATCTCCAGTATAATTCTTCAAAAACATCAATGATTGATACAGTTCTGGATCCAAGCTAGGCAAATCATCCACTAGAAGGCAAAATTGATTATTATAGTTGCGCAACGAAATCGACTAATCACTACTGTACTCACGATACGATTGTCGACCCAGCCATTTTGAAAGAAAGAATTTGGCAAACGAAACGTCAACCAGAACTCCTTCATACAACGCTTTTCCAAGAATTCTACCAAGGAACTGATACTGGAGCAACTGCGCTTCTAATAAATAACAGCTGTTAGTGGAGACTGACTGCTTGTAACGGATATCGTAATTTACCTTGGGTAGCATAACTCTGTGGTGACGGATACAGTAGGTGGTCTTTGGTTTCGCACATCAAACCGTAATTCATGTCAAAGGCTTGTTTGGAGAGTCTACAAATTGGATGCTAACGTCAATTCCGCTAGAAAACCGGTAAAAACTATGCGTAGCACGTCAGAAATTCTCACCCAGTAAGGAATTCTTTAAATAAACCACCGCCGTCAATCCCTGCTTCAACCATCCCATTGTCGTCAACAAATGTGATGGCAATCTTGTTTTTAAGTCGTGGTCCTAGACAACAGTAATTCAGTCGTTCAAGGTTTCGGTACGTAATTATGCCTAATTATTCAGAGAAAACTCACCTAGTGCATTTAAATATGTATACCCGTCTTCAAAAATATATTTACGTCGAATTGTGGCGCTAGCTACTGCCATATGCCACTCGTTATCAATTCCTTCTCTAAACAGGTTGACCAAGGTCAGTTATTGGCCCACAAGGCAGTCCCCTTTTAAGATTCAAAACAAGTACTTGCCTCCTGCGATCGTTTGCAATATACTCTCGAAAGATACTAACTCGATTTTCGAAAGGGATGACAAATGGTGTGTTGTTGAGGATGGCTTGACGAGGACCAACGACTCTCATTTGTCTTGAGGACAAATCTCCACTATCATCTAGCACTGCTGCCGCCATAAAGGAAGGTAGATCAATCTCTGAAGTTGATAGCCAATGATTTGGTGGTGCAAATGGCCGTCTGGAACTACGAGAGAAACGCTTGTCAGAAAACAGAGAATTTCGCACGTCAAGCAGCGGATTGCAGGCAGAAAGAGCTTACTCTCGAGAGTGAAGAGAAAACAGAAGCTGAGTGAATAGTTGACGCATTAGCTGCATGACTAGAGTCGTTCCAGAAATGTATAAGGGGGCGACCAGTCCTGAGTCATTCCAGTAGAGACCAAATGTGACATTCTAATATGGTGTAAAGCTGTGTTGGCGACGACATGGCGGGAACCAACAGTCAGCCATGAACGTAACTGCATAAGCACAATTGATACCTTGAGGACTCGAGAAAGAGAAACGACCATGTTCAGCTTCAACGACGTCTTTTCACCAAAGAATTCGTCGTCCCCCATTGTCATCAGCATTCTAGAATACAATTCACACACAAACACTAGAACTGACCATAGCGAAGCATTGGACGGGTCTATTCAATGAGCATGTGTTATTCAGTCCTGCTAAACTCTCGCAGACATTGAAAGGGTACCTGTAATAGCATCAAACGACACTCTGCCACCAAATCTTGCTTCCCAAGCAGGCATAAGCTTGTCACAGAGTATTCCAACTATGTCACCTGTTGCTCCAACTATGGCCATTACTTCTAATTTACGTCCCGGCCATCTATCAATGAGGGCCAGGAAAAAATTCACTATGGGAGCAATTGAGTCGACGACTGACACGCTGGTGAGAGCCACAGTGGTCATGAGCCTCATAATGGCAGTCATATGTGCTGGATCAAACAATATATTGAGCCATTTCAGCAGTCTTCGGTCGAGTGTTGGTTTGGACGCTTTTTGGCTATTCAAAGGCATCATGATTTCGTCCTCATCACCTAGATCAATAGATGCTAAGAAGAGGGAGTCAAGTTTACGATTTTTCTTGGAATCTTGGAACTCAGACAAATCACGCACCATCGAGTACTGTGGGATCTCGGCGTTCAAAGAATAAATCCGAACTAGAAAGTAGCAGCTTTTGCAAGGCCGTCACATAGTCAAACAGCGTTTCTGGAGACATTGTCGATATGCGACTCTGACCAAACATGAGTATGTTGGTCAATAATGAGCCAACTCCATCGGTTTCAGTCACTTTGTTGGTATTCTTGATCAGTTGTATAAGATCTGCTGCTGCAATTTCTCGTAATATCACGTCGAAGGGCATAGTTGCGGAAAGAGTTGACACAGCATCCAGCGGAATTCTCAAAGGTAGCAACGGTATAGTCAAGATCTCTGATGCGAATGCCCGAGAATGACCGATAGTCAGAGGCAAATTCAGTGTCTGGTTGACGACATCAACCATAAGCGACACAAGAGGTCTTAATTTGCGTTCAGTTGCCTAGTAAGTACTGTGTGAGGACATCTATGGTATCTGTAGTGAAATAGTATAAATATTCAAAAACTTCGGAAACTACGTACTATCGACCCAAGATACTCTCCAATACTTCTATATAGCCCTCCAGTAACACAATAATCTGCAAGATTCAAGACTATTCCGCTAATTTTCCAAACAGTTACTAACACCCAGTCAACTTTGACGACAGTTTGGTAAAACTTGCCTCAGATTGCCTGTATAGCTTTTTGCGTCTAAAGCAGCCTTTAAGAGCAGTGCACAAGGTCTTACTTCAGTTTGATACACCAGCCTATTTCCAAGGACTGGTTAGGATAAATTTGTTCTGTATTCTAAATTTTGGGAGATGCTCACTTGTCATTGATTATAGAATTAGCAACACATAGCAGTAGCAATTTTTCGAGAAGATAGATCCATTCCGACACGAATGAAGGAGTTTGCTGCAAGAAGGCCGAGACAAATAATGGAACTGGTTGTGTGAGCGTCTGGTCAGTCAACTGCATGGGAACATGTGCGCTAACAGGAGTGATAGTACCGTTTCTATCAGCGGCGAGCAGTGCGGTAGACAGAGCATCCAACCTGCCAAGATCTAGGCGTGGGTTGAAGAAGAAGAGTAGCGATTGTGTTTGACGATGGATGTGGATGAGATCCAGCGCTGAAGAGTCCCAAACTAATCTTTCAGCATCTTTTGCAAGCTGAACCTCACGTCTTCCTCTCCAAAAGCTCTACAGAAATTCGGGTAAGTTTGAGAGTCGACTTGATTTGCAATGTATGGTTAAAGGTCACAAAGGAGGCGACAATGAACAAAGCAAGGAGCAGTAAGCAGTCAGAAATGCACATCGAAATTACGGTTACCTCTATCTTTATGGCGCACTTCCATCTTAATCTCTCCTGCTCCCGATTTTCCCTTTCGATCTGAGCTTTGAGCAGCAGGTCTCTTTGCGTGATTGTGCTGCGATTACCTAAATTTACATTGCGAGGCTTCTTGTAGCTGCCGTCGAAAAAGGTCATCTTGGTCCTCGGGAACGTCCCGATCACATACGTTTGTTTAATTTGGCTTCAGGGTGAGACCTCATTTCTCAGCTAAGACGCCTCATGTCCCATGGCCAATCGGTACCAGCTAAAGTATTCACGCCAACAAGCAAAGATCGAATGGAAAATGAGATATGTCTATTGATTTACTCTTTACTTTATTTGTTTTTTACGTTTTTAGAACTTAACAACCACAGTTACGTTACTGTTTAATGCATGGTGGCTGATGAGGCAGATGGCAAGATGGTTTTCACATTACCTAGGTTGGGGAGAAAGTAGATTGTTAGCGTGGATAAAAAGATCACAAGTGTATTAAAACATGCAGATACGGGCACCAGCTGTCCATACCAGTGAATTTGGGTCCCTGCAACAATTTCAATCGTTAGTAAAGATAAGCAGGCAACCAGTACATCAAAACATAGACTTACCATCCATGCCATCAATACATTGATGGTTCGAACAGTTTGACGGATCTTGTTGACATTTTCCTTGACACGCTTAATGATGACGGCACGGTCCTTTCTAGCAGCTAATTTACGACGACGGGCTGGGAATGGAGCCAAGGTAGCAGTCAATTCGAAAGACCAGTAGCGGATAACCATGACCTTGACGATATCGAGCAACATGAAGCAAGCAGTAGAGATAAGCAAGATGGTAATTCCCCAAGCCCAACCACTAGATATCGAGGTTAATTGTTTGCTTTCCAACAAGTCGTATCATAAAAGAAAGTCAACCCACATTGGTACAGCTTCGAAGAAGTCAACACCGTAGATGGACATGAACATGGCAAAGACTTGAGTACCAGCGATAGCAACGACGAAGATGAGAGAAGGAGCAGATTCCCAGAACCAACCAGGGAGACGAGTAGAGAAGATGACAAAGTGTGGGCAAGATGACATCTAGCACAAAACATTTGATTAATTTATGTTTTTGACGGGGCTGGACTGCCAACATGTCCACCGATTACAGACATCTATGCGACTTGACATACCTGGAGATACATAACAGTTTGGACGAATGGCTCATCCTTCATGAAGTAGTCCTTGGTGATGAAGTAGTGGGCGAAGGAGATACACATCAATAGGAGACCCAAAACGAACGACAAGGTCAATAATTGACCGAGACGCCACTTGTCGGGACGCTTAGAGATCTTGGCGTTGTCGACAGAGATAACCAAGGTTGCGGCATCGTTCAAGACAGCAATCAAGATGATAAGACGGTCAGGCAATGTAAACTTGAAGGCTAAGATGGTGATGAAGAAGAAGCACAAGAAGTGGATGGTAGAAGTAATACGGTAGACTAGCGTGAAGAAAGAACAGTTTCAGAAAAGTGCTCAATCGCAGTTTTTTGGCTGTAATTCAAGAAAGCAGGCAGCCATAAACACGAATGATCTTCCTCTCGTGTACTTACTAGAGTAGGATCTCATACGTTGGAAAATGGCACGCGAAGTCTTGACACCGTCGACAATAGTGTTGAGACCAGGAGCCAATAAGACGATATCGGCAGCTGATCGAGCAGCATCAGTACAACCAGAGACAGCAATACCGACGTTAGCCTTCTTCAAAGCAGGAGCATCTATTTTATTCGATGAATTAATGAGAAAAACGCCGAAGACGCGAGGGCAAGGTAAGCAAAGAAGCAAGCAAAGTACTGAAACTTACCATTCACACCGTCACCAGTCATTCCGACCAAGAAACCACGGTTTTGCAATAATTCTACAACACGGTACTTGTGTTCAGGGATGACTTGAGCAAATCCGTCACACTTTTCAATACGGTCAGTTAAGGCGTCTTCAGACATGGTAGAGTCAATAAGCTTGTGGGCATCCAAGATAGTACGTTCCATGCCGAGACGGTAAGCGACTTCCTTAGCAATAATAAGTTGATCACCAGTGATCATCTTTACACCAATACCAAGTTCTCCACATTCTACGATGGTCCTGCCTGAGTCTGGACGAGGAGGGTCAAGGAGAGAGATCATACCAACCATTTCAAACTTGGTCATTTCGGGGTCGATGGTACGGGCAACACCTAAAGCTCGGAGACCACGACGAGCAAAGTCCTGTACAGCATCGTGAGCTTCATCGTGACCACCACACATACGGATGGCAACTTGAGGAGCACCCTTAATACAACGGTAACGTTCACCAGTAGCTTCTACAGTTACGGTAGCTTCGGTATATTTAGAGTTGGGATTGAATGGAATGAAGCCAGTGACTCTGTAACCAGGGATTGGACCAGTGCCTTTGGGACGGCTCTTCAATAATTCTACTTGTTTATCGGCGGCCTCACGGATGGCCAATTCAATGGCATCTTGTGCACCAGGTTCTGAGGCAAAGAAGGAGCATAAAAGCAAGTCTTCAGCAGTGTATTTGACACCAGATCCAACAAAGTCGTCGTGGCGAGATCCCTTGTTGGCCAAGTATGGTTCATCAAAGGTCAATTCGTTGAGGGTCAAGGTACCAGTCTTGTCTGAGCACAAGATGGAAACGGAAGCCAATTCTTCGATAGCAGTCAAACGCTTTACAATAACCTGCTTCTTGGCCAATTGCTTAGCACCGACAGCCATGGTGACTGACAATACAGTCTAGGATTGACAGCATAGACGTGAGCTTCGAGTGATATAAACTATATAGGGGCCCTTCAAGGCTTCCTGAAGTGAATCTAGAAATTTGAACTGAAAACTTACTGGAAGACCGACAGGGATGGCAGCAATGGTGATAATCAGGACTTGCTTCAAGGCATCCAAGAAGATGAGACCTTGTGCAAAGATCAATACAAACAACAAGATCAAGACCATGACCTGTCCAGTGAAATGTTAAATGAGCTTTAATGAACTGGGTCGGGATGATGATCAAGCACAAGTGGACTTACGACAGTGATGATGATCAAGAAGTTACCAATGTTGTTGACAACCTTTTGGAAGTGACCTTGTTCGTTGGTGATGGCAATCAAGTTTGCAGCACGACCAATGTACTAGAATGACGGAAGGCGATGAGTTAGCTATCCCAGTTGCAAAAGGCATAACAACCCAAACAGAGACTTACAGTGTTGATACCAGTCTTTGTAACGACACCCAACATTTGTCCTTGCTTTACAATGGAGGAAGAGTAGGCAGTTGCACCCTTGGCTTTGGATACGGGTAGCGATTCTCCAGTCAAGGCAGATTGATCGATTTGCAACTTGCTTTCAGTTTCTTCACCCTGTACGTTCAAACCGAGCAGACGGCAATCGGCTGGGACGATATCACCAATACGGAGGGCAATGATGTCACCAGGTACTAGGAGAGCAGAGTCGACTTCTATGAGTTCACCATTACGGAAGGATTTACATTTGAGAGCAAGAGTGTTTTTTAGAGCATCTAGAGCAGATTCGGCACGAGCTTCTTCAAAGTAACCGATACAAGCGTTGACAACCAATACGACGACCAGGATACCAAAGTCGACCCAATCTTGGAGAATGGCAGAGACCAAGGCAGCGATTTCCAAAAGATAGGAGATGGCACCACCAAAGTAAGACAAGAACTTGAGGAAAGGGTTGGTCTTCTTTTCAGGGATTTCTATTGGTGAGGTTGCAAGGTCATAGTTAGTTTCAGATCTTTTTAGATCGTCTTGCACTAGGGTGTACGATAAGCACAGAGTAGTGTGCAGCATACAAGCACATAATCTTCAAAGGTTCTTCCGTAGCCAGACAACCACATTTCAAAAAAAAGGGAGACAGACAAGGCTCTCAACCATCAGTTGACACGAGGCCGGCAAGGGCGACGGGTCGGTGGATGGGAGTGAATGGAGGAAGCCCCATTGATTTGAAGCTTATCGATGCACCGGGAAGCATCCGAATCAAGTTTTTCAACTTGTGTCATACCAAAACAAATCACAACATAAACGACGACGATGATGAAGAGAGACGACTCGGAGGCAGCAACGACTTGCCAACTGATAGCAAACTAGTGGCGGCTTACCATTCTTGCCAAACTTTTCCAGACGGGCAGCGGCTTCAGCAGCACTCAATCCTTGCAACGGAGAAGTTTGAATGAGAGCTTCGAGCTCTGGGTCAAGCTCATCGACGTTTTCCACATGATGTTCCTCGTCCTTGGCAGCTGCGTCCATGGCAGCCTGCTCATGCGATTGCGGGTTCTTGGACGCCATCCTTACAATCTCCTGTTTTTAAGAATGTTGGAAGGAAGTGAAAGTTTGCTGGGTACACGAGATTGGGGAAGACAGAAAAACAGGAAGGCAAGTCGAGTGCGGCTACTCAACATGTCAAAAAGAAACAAGCTCGATTGAAAGCTCAAAAGGTTGAACCTTGTTTCACCCCCTCGCGTTTCAAATCGGGTTTCCTCGCTTTGCTGTTTCAGCTCTATAGATTTGAATCGAAATGGAGACTCTCGCGTCAATACAAGCAAATCTAGCATCGCAAACATTCTTTGAGTGACGGATATTCACGAATCCAAAGCAGACTCTCCAAAAACCGCGAAAAACAGTTTTCAAATTTTAGCTTCTAAGCCTCCCCTATTTTACACCAGCCATATCCGAACTTGTTCATGCATAGCGATCCGTGACGTTTGATGTTTCAAGTATACTACGTTTGTAACAGCTCAAGATACAGATGCAATATTTTTGGCACAAATCATTACTTTTGAGCAGATGACGAAGATGCAAACGCGTGAGTATCCTCTGTCAGGAGAAACACGTGTTCATCATCTGAATGGTGGTCTGCATAGCAATCATGATCATCACTATCAGTATGGTGCTCATGTGCACTATCAGTATGCTCACAATGGCGTTCATCATGTTCGTGTTCACTATCGTGGTCATGATCACTATGATGGCATTCATGCTCATCTTCTGACGAAGTGTCATCGGCATGTTTCTGGCCCTCTTGTACATAGCGATTTGCTCCCATGCTTTTGCTGAGTAGGAATCCTGGATCCACTCGAGAGCCATGCCCATGACGCTCAACTCGAATCATACCACGAGCTGGGGCTGAAGCTACCGGCATACTATTTGACGTCCTTCTTTGTCGTATATTGATGGCATCTGGAGATAGTGCCAGAATAGACTGAGCTTCCAGGGATTTGGGATTTACTACTTTAATTTCGTTACTGCCTAGGGCTGCAGGCACATCGGACTTCCTTCTTTTCTTTCTCTTATCATTTTCCCCATCTCCTGTCTTCCGACTCTTACTGGACGTTCGATACTTTTTCTTGAGTTCGGCCTTCTTTTCGTACCGATCCGTTCTATCAATTTCGTGAATTGAAAGAAGACTGAGATGAGAGTCCCATTCGAGTGCAACACAATCAGAAGCGATTATCAAATGTCATCAAACTTTACCTCCGTTCAATTTTCGACACTTCTACAGTCCACGAATCTTGAAATCGCTCTCCAAGCATAGATCCCAAATAAGTCACACAAGCAATGCCAACAAATATATACCATATAAACAATGAGCGGGCACGTTCTGTCTTGGGAGTCACATCCCCATAACCAACTAAGAAGAAAAACGCTCAGAAGGTAAAGACAATTTTTCCAGCAATCCTGTTCTCACTTGTGGTTAGAGCAACAAAACAAAAGTAGATTCCATCCAGGAATTTCCAGTTTTCCAACGTGGCAAATACATATCCAAACAGGAGCAAATTACCCACTACAGCTAAAGATGCCCATCGTATCTGCTTTTGAAAGGTCTCCCGTGTCATTTCTATTACTTGTCGACGTTTGACGTCACTACCAGCAATCAACGTGAGTTTTGGCAGATGAGTACCCCTAGATATGACCATAGCACGAGAGTCTGCTGGACGACCTCCTTCCACATATGACGACGTGACTGATCGAGGGAATCGTCGTCGCGGTCGACGATCAGCCTTATCTCGTCGAGGGGACGTAATATCAGCAGGGGTCGAGGACTGATCTTGTTGGGTCTGTAGTACGTCTGGTATTTTACTAGATAGCGACTTCTCCATGGTAGAATAGTCCAGTTCGTCTGTTTCCTGCGGCGAAATCAAAGGGGCTGTTTCATCAGCTGCTGAAGAGTCAACTAGCTGTGGCTCATTAGCTTCTAGTTGAGAAGAGTCTAAAGATCTAGTTCGCGTTCGTGGGAGTTTGGCTGATGAAGTGTCCAAAGATCTAGATATTCGGTACATTGCAGGGGTTCCACCAAAGGAGTGTTGTATTGGCACGTTTCTGGATGCGACTTGATCTGCTGAAAGGGGCCTTCTGGCATTAGTATCGATATTATCATTTCTGTTATTGTTATTATTGGAGTTTGCTGTAAAGTGCGATTTGTCTAGGGGGGGGGGG